TGTACCCCGGTGGGGTGTTGGCGTTTCATCACGTGTGTGTGCGCTCAGGAAGCAGCGATGCGAACGCGTCTGCTCGCAGTTTACAAAAGGAACAGGAACGACCTTTTCAGCCCCAGCCTGCCCCGAGCTTTGCCCTCCCCCTGCGTAACTGGAGAGCACCCAGTCTGAGAAAAGTGTCTCCTGGCTCTTTTCCCACCACCTGAAAATTTTTAAATTTGATCAAGCTAATGTGATTTCCTGGGCCTGAGGAAGCCAGGCAGTGACTGGCAACACCTACGCTGTTACCAAGGTGTCACTTGGGGAGGGGGGGGTGTTGGGTGTGGAAACCTGTTCCTTATCCTGAGGGTGAAAACCAGCTTGTTTCTGTCTCACTGAGGAGCTGGGGAGTCAAAGACTGTGGCAGAGCAGGGCAGAGAGTGCTCACCTGTGAACTGGGGGGGCCCTGGCTTGCTCAGGCCCTGGGGTGGGTCGTGCTGGAGCAGCCAGCCTGGATCTTGCCGTGGCTGCCCCTGCTCCACGTCCCCGCGTTTGCTGTCCCCGCGTGCTCCCCGGTGCCTGTTCACAGTTATTTCTGGCAACTGTTGCTCCGCTTCCCTCCGAGTTGGGGTAGAAGGGGCTCCCCCCCCATCTATTTTTGGGGTGTAGGCTGTGGGGAGAGGTTGAGGCCAGGCTGAGGGGTGCTGTGCTGGGTGTGTTGGGGTGACCGTTGTCCTGGGCTGGGAATGTGCTGTACCGAGCCACACTCTGTCATGGCAACAGCCGCTCACCTGCAGCAACTCGCAGGTCTCCTCCCAGCAACGTGGGGCTCTTCCAGCCCCAAAACTGTCCCCGCTGCCATGGCAGCGTGACATGGGGGGAGCACGTCCTGCCCGAGGCAGGGCAGGGGTTGAGGCTTTGTTACCTACCAAAGCCGCAGCAGCTCTACCAGCGAAGCAAAAAAAATCCCTTTTTTGAGCCCAGGAGGAGCAGGGATTCACATCCACACTCGTGCAGGAGTGCCTAGTCCCGATTTCCACCCCCGGGGGTTCCCCAGCAAAACCATTGCAGCTGTGCTCAGCTCAGACTGGTGGGAAGGGGTTGTGGTAAGGGGCTTGGGAGGATTTCTGCCCTTGGTGAGGGACAGTGAGGAGGGGTCCTGGCTTTCCACTCTCTTTGCATCTGCTGTTGAGCGTGTTGCTGCCTGCTGGGGGTGAACACAGTGTCCTGCCCCTGCACCAAGAACCCCCTGCCAGGTTCGGGAGTTCCGTGGTGGCATTTCTGGCCCAAGGCTGGGCCCAGGCAGGCAGCATGTGGCTGATGGATACTCAGGCGTAGGGGGGAGCTCCCTGGGTGGGATCCTCCCCTCAAGGGATCTTTCTGGAGCCCCCCTGGGAGCAGGAGATTTGACCAAACGGAGGTGCATGGCTCAGTCCCCGCAGCTCCTCCACCACATGCAGCCTTTGGATGCACACACACACACACACCCCGGGGCTAAGGGTCTTGCCCTGGAGGAGGAGAAAAATCTCCTCAGACATCTTCATCTTCCTCGCTGGGATGGGGTGAAGGACCTGGCAAGCAGAGTGAAGCCTGACCCCATCCACGTCACAGTGATGCAGGTAGCGCAGAGAGAACAGGGAAGCAAACTTGCTTGGCTTCCTAGAGAAGCGGGGCTTAAGCAATAGCACAGTTTGTACTCCTCTAAACTTCCCTCTTTTTTTTTTTTGTTTTTTTCTCCCCCAAAATAACTTAAGCTTTCTTGTCCAGCTTGAACCAGATTTGACAGGAGATGTCCAAACTATTAAGTACTTGCAGCTGCCGCTGAAAGGGGTTGAGCACAGAGGAGGGCTCTCCCTTCAAACGTGCCTCTGGAGAGCTCGCACGGGGCAGGGAGGGCATTTCACCCAGAAAAACACCGCGTGGACCTCCAGGCAACGCCTGAACGTTTGATCTGAGAGCCTGGTTGTGTGACTGTGGGGACCTTGGCTTTCCTGGAGCCAGATCTTCCCTTGGTGGGGAAGGTTGGGATGGCTCCCACCGCCGGCACAAACCCTGACACCCCCGAGATGGACCAACTTCAGGACGGTCCCTCCTTCCCCACAGCAGCAGCGTGGCAAGGGGCAGCTCACACCCGTGTTGGACATGGATGTGTCCAACCTCTCCTCTCCCAGGGACCACAGAAAGGTCCTTTGGGACCATGGAAAAGTCCTCCAGCACCCATTTTCACAAAGGCAAGCTGGCCACAGAGCTTTCTGTTCTGGTGTGACCCCAGGGCCGGGGAGAGGAGCAGGCTGGACACACAGAGCTGTTTCCCAGCTTGGAGCTGATCCAGAACGGTGCTGTGGATGCTGCCCAGAGCCAGCTGTGCTCTGGGTTTCTCCTTTACCCAGGGACAAGGCAGAGCCCTTCCCTGCGGGGCTGTCTCCCAAGTCGGGCCCAGAAATGGGGCAATTTGGTTCATTCCCCCCAGTCCTGGCTCCTTCTGCTCCAAGGGTGGGGGATGAGAAGCTCTCTGCCGTGTCAGCTCCCCATTTTTTGCATGTCAAGGCAGAGTTCTCCAGCCCTGGAGCTGCCACGATGCTGCTCCACGGACATCTCCCCCCTCCTGGGACCCCCCAGCCACCGCAGCGCTGGGCTTCAATCCCCCGCAAGGGATGTGCTGGTGTTGCTGTGTCCTCCCGAGGAGAAGCAGGGCTCTTGCAGCAGCCTCGCTGCTCTCCCTCTGTTCCTTCTCACCCCCTTGCTGGGAAAAGGCAATTTAAATCCCAGTGCCAGCCTGGGTTTTAATTCCACAGCGTGAGGCCATGCGCTGCTGCACCGGGGGGAGCTACGGCGAGAGCGGGAGCTGCCTCCTGAGCCCAAGCAGAGGGTGGGAGAGCAGAGACGAAATTAATGTGATGGTTTTGGTTGCGCTGCTGCCAGCGGCGCTTTGCAAGGGTGCCTGGGTGATTGTAAGGAGCGGGGGCCTCTCCTGCGAGGCCTCACGTTGTTCTCTACAGCTGCTGGGGGGGGAGGATTGGCGCAGGCTGGCCTTGGCTGGGTTCAACAGGGCTGTGCCTGCGGGTGCCCCGGCAGCTGGAGCATCCACTGCTCCTTGAGAGGCTGCGACGCCTCCATTTGCACCCAGGGCCGTCCAAGTTCACAGAATCCCAGAATAATTGAGGTTGGAAAATCCCTTGCAGCCCCTCCAGCCCAACCATGACCCTCCCCCTGACCGTTCCCAACTCCCCCAGATCCCTCAGCGCTGGCTCAG